CCAAAGTATTCAAAATGAAATCATCAGCATTTGGGATATGCAAAATCTGTATTGCATAGGGTTTTCCCACTCCACTGCCTACAAATATTTAACCTGGTTATCTCAGTACTTACCTGGTGGGAGCATATAGAAAAAATAATCAATGAGTTTCTTTCCACTTTTATCCACCCAACCCTATTAATTTACCTGTACTCTGACAGTCTTCCCTAGACATGTACAGTCAGAAAACAAAGTACCTCAAAAGTCTTGGTTTCCAAATTTAAACTGTGTTAGAAAGAATACATATGAAAGAAGATATGACACAGAATGGGTTTTGTACACAATCCTTTCTCCCAAGAGCTGAAAGTAAAGCGAGGGCTTGGATAGAAGGCAATTTTTAAAAGGCCATTCCCCAAGAAGGGGGTGTGTGTGTGTGTGTGTGTGTGTGTGTGTAAAATCACACAACACAATGGAACCTCATGTGGTACGGAGACGTGAGAACAGAGAGGACATGGGGGCCTAGATCCATGGGTTTCAGGAGTCGGCAGGCCTTACAGAGAAAAGTCTCTTCCTTCTTCATTTTCATGCTTAGGTAGCTGTGAAGTAGAAATGACACCAAGACTTGTCTGGACATGAGAGGGCTAAAGATAGTAATCTGAGCTTTTTGTACCCCTATGATGGTAGTGGGGCCCTGGTGTCACAGTGGTTGAGAACTCGGCTGCTAACCAAAAGGTTAGCAGTTCAAATCCTCCAGCTGCTCCTTGGAAACCCTATGGTAGTAGTTATGGTAATAGAAAGGAGTGGGGTGTAGCAGGGTGACTTATCCATTAGGCACGGTAGGCACAGTGCCTAGGGTCCACAGTGCTTATAGGAATCCCAAAAAACATTTTAATTCTCTTAAAAATAGAAAAATAAATAGAAAAAAAAATTTAGGTCAAATAAAATATCTTAATATTAATTATATTAAAGAATATACTATTCTTATATGTATATGTACTGAGTACACTGATTACATTAAAGACTATAATATTAATATATTTATTTTATAACAATGTTGTTGTTAACTGCCATCCAGTCGGAGCAGACTCATAGCGACCCTACATACAACAGAACAAAAAACTGCCTGGTCCCGCACCATCCTCACAATGTTGCTGTGTTTGAGCTCATTGTTGCAGCCCTATGATAATTACTATAACATCCACTATACCAATTTAGGCAGATTCAACCTAAGCACCTGTTAACTTTCTTCAGGAAGGTCTTTATTAGGCTGTAGGATTTAAATAATAGGTAGTCTGTTATGCTGGACAAAGGCAGGTTAAGCAATTGCCATAATCAAATGTATGAGATTCATGAGTGGCTTGTCTTCAAAAGAGATGGTTCATGTCTGACATGAATAGGTCCTTATCATCAAGACAAATTTCTGAGAGAACAAAAGTGTGATCACTAAAGATAAAGAGCAACAAACTATATGAGCACAATCAGGCCTGAAAATGAAGTGAAATACATTTTATATTATGCAAAGGCTGCTTTTGTTTTTAAGCCACTCTGGGGGACAGGGTCTTATCATCAAGTTCTGTCTGGAAGTTAACAGTTCTGTAACAAAATGCTGTACAATGGTGTCTGCTATTCAGTGCCACCACTATTCCACCAGCTCATCCTCCCCTAGTGCTACATCACATCCCCTAGCCCCTCATTGAGGACCTCTTGTTTTTTTCTCCAATGGGGACTTACAAAAATGAAGACTTACTCTTTCAAAGATCTCAAGCAAAAAAGAGCATATAAATACCAATTTATTATGCCAATCTTGGATTAAAAGCCAAGACCTCCAAAGTAAATATTCAGGATGACTTTAAAACGCTAAGCAGTGCAATGACTACAAATGAGTTTCACTTGTTTGTTCTTTTGTGCCTGGACATGCACTGTGATGAGGCATTAAATAAAACTTGCTACAAAAAGTAGGACACCTGCCCACAGATCAAATTTGACTAAAACAAATTCCAAACGACCATCCAAATGCTATAGTTGTGTTGCAATTTGGTTGTATCAAATATCATTCCTATTAAGCAGGCATCAGCCTTGGTGTTAGAAATAGTAATACTTACTGCCATAGGATTTGATCTATAGTTGGAGCCCTGGGGGCTTAGTGGTTAAGAGCTCATCTACTAACAGAGAGGTTGGCAGTTCAAACCTACCAGCTGCTCCTTGGAAATGCTATGGGTCGGCTCTACTCTGTCCTATAGGGTCTCTATGAGTCAGAATCGCCTCAACAGCGATGGGTTTGTTTTTTTGTTTTTTTTTTTTTTTTGGATTATGCTACGATAGGTATGAAAAAGGTGATCCACCAATAGGCTGTCTGTATAACACTTAAATGCCTATAAATTAAAGATATTAGTCAATTCCATTAAAAACAATCAAGGTATGGATTTGTTCATTTGGTTGGTTTAGCAACTTAAGAATTCTACCAATGGAGACAAGTCTACTGACAACTATTAGGAGATAGGAAACCATGTTAGGAAAACTAAGAAAATAAAATTATATTCAAAATCTTTTTCATATGTCATAAGTCAGAACAGAGACATGTGGAATTAAAACTTAAAATGATATAGACTGCCAGGAATTGTGCAATAGGTCTGCAATAAAGGATTAATAATAAGGATGCTAGTGACAGAAAAAACAGTAGATAAGAATTAGGCTCAGGAGCATGA